AAGTAATTTACCACCCCCAAACTTAAAATTTACATTGCCCTCAATGTAATTAACACGAAGTTCAAGGATAGAATACACCTGATTAGTCGAAGGTCCTTCCAAGGGATGCACTCTTTGATGTTCGTTTGCTCGACCTTTAACGTCCGATCCCTTAGTGTTTGATTTTCGACCTGAAAATTAAAACAAGATTAAATTATTAGTTTGCGCATGCACAAATACTAAGAAAAATAAAAACAAAGAAAAATACGAAAATTGATAAATGCTCGGGTTGCCTCCCGAGAAGCGCTAAGTTTTAAGTCTTCAGCCAGACTTTCCTTCTTGAAATTGTTATGTCCAATCCAAAGCCTTGTAGATTGCGCATCCACCAATGAGCTCTATCACTTCAATTTCCACCAAGGCATGGATAGCATTGCAATATGTTAGGATCCACCTTAGCTTGTAGTCTTTTTTTGTGGTAATCAATCGGTACGAAGCCAAGATAGGATGTTCATCGGCCGCTCCCTCAAATCGGTATACAAAAATCTCCAGTCTACGTATAACCTCCACCTCAAACACATTAGCTTTCTCATCGACCACTATTGATGTCTTCAAATCCACATTTAGATCAACGACATGGTCCACAATTAGAATATCTTCAATCATTACATCCATCTCCTTCTTCTCTTGTTCTGAGGTATCTTCGTGGTTTAGCTCGATTGCCTTCTCAGATTCATCATGTTCAACTGTCTTCGTAATTTCTATTTCTCGCATATCGACACTATTTTCTGGACATGGAAATTGTTTCTCACCGCAGACTTCACCCAAATTTTCTTTGATATAACCATTGCCGATTTCGTCTGGAATATTTTCAAGCGACTCATATTTTAATTTGAGTGTCATCTCTTCCAATTGTATCTCCATGTTTCGAAATGATGCTTGAGTGGACTTCATGAATTTGCGAATGATGGATACCAAATCAGGTTGGTCATTAGTGGTTTGTTGCTGCAATGGATAATAATTTTGAAGATCATCAAATTGTGGCTCTCTATGTTGAAACTCGTTCAAATCTTGGTCCTGAAAGCTTTGCTCGCATGTGTTGCTGTAAGTGTTCCAATAACCTCTGTTGGTAATTTCGACGAAATTCGTCGCTTTTGGTGATCCCCAGCATTGATCGGTGTAATGATTTCCACCACATGTTGAACAAAACAGAGGCATATCATAGGTGTTTTGGAGGTATTCGTCAGATGGAAGCCATTCATATCCCGTTTGAGGTGCCCGATCATTGTAACCAGACATGTAACAAAAAAAACAAAAAAAAAAAAAAAATTAAATGGCTGAAGTAAGAAAAATTGCTTAAATTTGATATTAGGATAAATAGATAATTTAGCCGTATTCCCCGGCAACGGCGCCAAAAACTTGTTGGGTGCTAAATACCAACACGCAAGTGTACGTATCGCAACCAAGTAGTAAAGTAGACTCGTGAGAGTCGGATGTCGATCCCACAGGGAATACGCAAATTATTTAATCCTAAGTACCAAATCCTAACAATTGTGATTTTTATCCAGCCTACGCAGGGTTGTCAAATTAATTAACTAAATAAATTAAACTAATTAAGAAAGCAATTAAACACGAGAAAAATATCAATATAAAACGGATCTAGGATTTTATCTTCCCCCTATGCGATAATTCTTCACCCAATTAATCTTCTATCATGCAAGTTACGATTCCCGATTATTAACCCAAGACACTAAATTACTCATAACCAGCTGTCGCTGCGTTATAAGCCTATTATTCATAAAAGATTCACTATATGTCTATGCAAACCTAGTATAAATAAAGCATTAAATAACAAGTCTCGTAAACGGCTACCTACGGTATTATCTGTATGTCTACGATAATACATGCAATTAACACACACATTCGGTGAAAAACTACTCGAAGGCTCTTCTATCCCTGTTCTAATTATTAAAACGATCTGTCAATCAATTCTAACAATAACAAATAGCAACATAAATTAGCTACGTTCATGCGCTAAATAAGATCAAGATAGAAGAAATAATCGAAGAATTAAACTTGCATAAAAGTAGAAAAATAGGTTCGAATTACCACATAGGGTTCCAATAAAATCCTAGATTAAAAGCTTAGCTACTCGTAATTCTTATGATAAACAAAATAAAAATAAAAGAAATAAGAAAAACTATGCTTGAGTCTTCGTTGATCTTCGTTCTTCGTATTTTGTGGTGTAAAATTTTGTGCTTATGGTGTAGAGACATGTTGCTTTTATAGGCTTTTCTTGATAAGGAAGTAGTAGAAACCTAATAGGAATCAATTTCTGCCACTTTCCCTCATCAGGACTTGTTCTTCGATTTTCGCCATGTTGGAGTCCGAATTTTGGAATATTGTGTAAATAAGAATTGTAGCCCTTGAAATTAGCTTTCCAATGCCGCCAAAATCACCTAATTCGGAGTTCGTATGAGAGAGATATTCTTGAAATCGTGGACACTGTCAAAGTTGTGGCGAGATTCCTTCTTCCAATTTGATTTGTTTCCTTATTTGCAACTTTTTCCTTTCTTTTTGATCTTTTTTCCTTCATGGACACCTAATTCTCGTTTTTCACCTATAAAACACAAAATCAATCAATTAAAGCACAAATATAATTAAATCTAAACAAAAGATCCACGTAAAGTTAACGTATTGAGTGTAAAATCTACACTCAACACTTATGTTAAACTTATATGAAAAATATAAATACCGAAAGGTCAAGTAAATTAAAACATTAGAAAAGATTAATTGGTATCAAAAACTTTATGTTGCATTTTTTCGTATACGAAAATCTATCTTTTAATTTGTTGTTCCTACATGCGTTTTTATCTATTGCGTTTTGTAAAATTCTCTTTTGAATTTTCTTGCGTTTTCCTCCAAAATTTCACAAAAGATATAAAAATATTGTGAAAATTTTCGTTATATCCAAATTTGAAACAAGAGATCATAAAACTAACTTAATTTCTTAAATTTCCGAAATTGTAATGAATTTTTGCATTCCGATTTTCTTGAAAATTAAATTGAATCACCACGGTAATATAAAAAAGAAAAAATAATCATAGAAATTCGAAGAGGCGGACATCTTATAACTTACAACGGTCGGTACTCAACAAAAATTTCCTAATTTAAAAAGAGAGCATTAAGGCAAGAATAATTAAGGTAAGACAGAGATTCAAATTCATATTACATATCAGCAGTTATTAATTACACCACACTTTCTTTTATGGCAAGTAATTAATTAATTAATTAAATAGCGTACAAACTACAAATCACAACAACATCTTATAAAAGGGCTTCATATGTAGGGTTTCTTGAATACTGTTCTCGTTTTTCTCTCTCACAAGCACAATTATAAATTTTTCTTTAATGGCTCACCTTCGCCGGAGAATTTCAGCGCGCCGCCGCCTTTCATCATCCCCCGCCACCGCCACCGCCGCTGCCCACGGCTATGTTCCCCATTCCAGGCCGTATCTTCCCCACCGCCCACGGCTATGTTCTGATTCCGTATTCGCCGTCATCCCTCCGCAGAACTACTATATGTCGAACAACAATTACTACGCGACGACGACGAGGTCAACGTATCATGTTCAAGAAGAAGACCAAACCCTGATTTTCAATGCAAGTAATATTCATCATCATCCACGTCAGCAAGAACATGCAGATCGGACCGCCGCCGGTTTGTCCGATGATCAGATCACAAAGTGTCTGAAAATAAAGATTAATATAAATTCTTGCCGCGATATTGAAGAGAGTGAAGTTTGCGTGATTTGTTTCGATGATTTGTGCCAAGAAAATAATAATAATATCGGAGTTCTCGAATGCGGGCATGAATACCATTCCGATTGTTCTCGAATGTGCCAAGAACTTTTGTCCGCTGTGTAAATCCGTCGCATTTAAGTGTTGTCCTGTACGTAGTTGATCATGTTAATTAACCGTGAAATGTTCGATTGGCTCGGTTTCGTTATCATATGTAAAGACGCGTTATATATATATAAAAAAAATATTTTGTGTATTTTAGGTATCATCCAATTATGTAGTTCTTATGTATTCTTTTGCTGTTTTTTTGTATAACAACTAATGTAAAAGTTTATTAATTGGATTATATTACTTCATTCTGTTTTCTGGACATCAATTTACAATTGATGTGTATTAATTCAAAGAACATCTATATATTTGATACAATATAAATAATAGTAAAGAAGATATATGTAACTTACTGTAAAGTTTGTAATTCCATAATCGTTCCGTTAATTAGGGTAGAAATTAATTTGATGGATCAGATCGAATATACCCTTTCGGAAAAATTTTGATTTTTTTTCGGAACTGAATAATTTGGTTTCGATTAAGATTTTTTTACAGGAAATTGCGGAAAATTGTATTTTTTTGTGGAATTATTCGTTTTCGCATTTATTTTTGGGATATTTTTGGATCTGTTTGGAATTTTTGAAATACAAACAAAAACAAAATCACATTATCATACCAGAAAATCATTTAGCACAACAATTTTACCGACAACCCTAATAATATTAGTGTTTCAATCACGAATACCACAAGAAAAAAACCTAGTATATATTATCGTGGGTGCAAAAATTGCAGTTAGAAATGAAACTCAGCGTATGAATACTTCGTAGTATTAAGCAAAATTTCTACTAGTGTCACTAGTAGAAAAATGACTTTTTACTACGATTTTTTCTGCTGCGGTAAAAAGTCGTTACAAAAGGTATCTCTTGTTACGGGACAATCTTGGAGTCGTAGTAAATGCTAGGATTTACTCTAGTATTTGCTACGGCCATTTACCGTAGCAAAGCTTTGGTCACGCCCGTATATGCTATGAGGGAAATTCGTAGCAAAAGCCTTTTTACTACGAATTTGATACATTTTACTACGGTTAATGGTCGTAGTAAAAATTCATTTTTCTACTAGTGCTTCCGTGTCTAACAGTAACTTTGTGCGTCGTTAGGAAAATTGTTTCAACGACAATGTCTTTAAAATGCAAAATAGTTGCGGAAATGGAAGCCTCGGAGACGATTTGCTTATATTTTTTGGGAAGAGAAAGTGATTTTGGTTCTGTTTTGGTGAGGGAGAAACAGTCGGAAGTATTGAGAAGTAATGGGTGGGGAGCCGCTGTGGAGAGAGAAGCGAGTTGGAAGAACAAGTGGGGGAGCCCGACATCTGTTTTGAATATAAGGGAGGGTATTTTCGTCATAAGCCATGTGGTTGGCTTTTTTTATGAACTGAAGTGGAGATACGATTGCATTTAAGTCAAGCCGTCAATCAACCTTACTTTTAATTTTCTTGCGTTTTAAAAAAATAACAAAAGGTAAAAAAAATCTAATAAGGATTCAAGAGGTATCGTGTTATAAATTACAACGGTATCCAAAATATTTTACTAATTTAAAAGGAGAGCATTACGGCAAGAATAGTGGTATAAACGAGCCGAGTTTGACTATTTTGGTGAACTCGAATTTTTATTAGAGTGAGTTTCGAATTATTTCTTTGCCCTACTTTCCCAATTTGTAAGAAGATTTGAATTCCTAAAAAAAAAAAACATATATATATATATATATATATATATATATATATATATATATATATATATATATATATATATATATATATATATATATATAATGGGACTCTTTACATTGTTAAGCTATGCTACACGGACACATCTAGAAGGTGCAGGGTCCCCGTATCTGACATCTAGACACTCGGACTTCAGACACTCGTATTGTAATTTCGCTACAAGTAGGACACCCGTGTCGGGCAGTGTCCGCAATTTTAAAAAAGTTGGGACACAACTCTTATGTTTTAAGAGAAATTAAAGCCCTAATAAAAAAATTTGCATTTTCTTTTCTCTCTAATACCACAAATCCCCTGTCTTCTTTGATAGTCCACCCAAAAGTCCAAATCTCTGCGACCAAGAACACGAGCAACAAGGGCGAGCCGTTCTCTTACGCCATTTGGCGCCTTATAAATATCTCCTTACAATTTATAAATGTACCCCTATATTTTTAGAGTATATTCATATCTGCGTATCGCCGTGTTTGCGTATCCACGTCCGTGCAAATAGCAGCTAAGTATAAAGAAGGGTAAATTAGAACCACACCCTGAGGTATGGTCAATTTACGAAAAAAACCCCTCTTGTTTGGATAATTACGTCTACCCCTCAACTATGATTTTTTCTTACACGTCCACCTTTAGGAGGGGTTTTTTCGTAATTTGACCATACCTCAGGAGTTGGTTGTAATTTACCCTATAAAGAAAGACATATAGCTAACTACTATAAAGAAAGACATATAGCTAACTAGGTTCAAACTCCTACTACATTAATACAAATGACTCTATTTTAGCGTACAAAACATAGAATCAATCTTAAATATTATAAATAGGACACAATATTACGTTCCAACTCACACACAAATTTTTTATTATTTTTTTTAATAACAATTATGGATCATCAACAACAACCTGGTCAAGCCAACTTCGCCGGAGATCATCACACTCAGCGGCGGTTGTGGCACATTCCCGGCCGTGTTGCCACCACAGCCGCCGTTGGCCTTATTATTCATCTTTATTCCCCCTTTGTCCCTCTAGCATACGATCAACATTCAAGAATTGTTCAACTAATTTATAGCAATTAATTATTTGAAGTTTTTGATATAATAATAAATTTCAAAGTTTATTTGAAGTTTGTTGTTTCCTTCTGTTTTATGAACCAGTTTTACTTGATTAAATTACAATTAAGAATTGGGTATAAAGGGTTGGGGGTAATATTGTGTCATATACATGAATATTTCCTTTATTTATAATAAACTAGCATTTTTTCTCCGTGCGATGCATAATAAGAAAATAATCAATTTAATACATAATAAGAAAAATATAATTTAATACACTATGCACGGGATATTATTTTAAAAGTGAAAAAAAATAATCAATTTAATACATAATAAGAAAATATAGTACACTAACATAGTAAAACTTAATAATGTTGTGTTATTCATATTTTATTTAACATTAGCCTTTTTAAATCTTACATATTAAGATTTATAATACAAATTGAATTTCTATTTTTATTGATGAAAAATAGGTGATCGATAATTGTTGAAAATTATAGTTAGAAAATTAGTAGAGAAAAAATATTAAAAATAAATAATTACAAAAGTATCATCAGGGTAGAATTCATCACGGTTCAGTGTCAATTTTGATAATTGCTGAAAAATATAGTTAGAAAATTAGTGGAGAAAAAATATTAAAAATAAATAATTACAGAAACGCCATTAAGGTTTCTTAGGATAATTGCCCAGCGTTTCTTTCTTTTATATATACGATATTAAAGGGATGAGTTTATTGGTGAAAGAGATATAGCCCTTAAACCTAGAATAATAAAGATGCTTGGTTATAGACTTATGCACAAAAATCCCTATAAATTATAATTCCATCATGGTTCTGTTAATTGCAAATATGGGTGGAAATCAGACTGATCGGATTGGAAGCTTTCTTATTTTCTTCAGAAATGATGGATCAATTATTGATTTTGATTCCTATTCCAACTTTTTCGGAATTCGAGAACTGATTCTGATTCCGAATTTTTCAAATAACAAATTGGAATGTTCATTTTTAATTAAATTATTCATCTTCGGATTGTTTTTGGATATTTTCGAAATATTTTTAATTTGTTTGGAATTTTCAGATTTTTTTTCATGTGGTAGCTAGATTCAGTATAATATGCTGTTTAGGAGAAATTTGAGGGTTATTTCATCGGGATATGAAATACACCACGGGCAGAATGAGGGGCTGCGGCCCTAGTGCTCGACGGAGAGAATGAGTTTGTGGTTGGCGCAAGAAAGGAGAGATTCCACATAGTGAGAGTTCTGGTGATGGTGATAGTGAGAATGAGTTAGGGTTTCACTTTTTAAACTTTATAATTTACTTTTCAGTATCAGTACTAACTTAGTTTAGGTTTTGAAGTTTTTTAAATAAAATTAAAGATAGGGTAAAATTCATTTTACACCCATGTACTATGTGAAAGGTATCATTTACCCCCCTGTAATGTATCGAAAACATCTAACACCCCGTCGTTAGTTTTTTTCCTAATTCCGTTAGTCAAACCTTTTGACCCACCGTTGCTAAGAGTTGTTGACTTTTTTTTTTTTTTTTTACGAAAATACGCCACAAAATATCTATATATAGGTTGCTTAGTTTTGGCCATTTTCACTAGATTTTTTGCTCTTTTCAACCCTTTTCTATTCCACGTTATTCAGTTTTTTTTTTTACTCTTTTTAGTTTTTTCTCTTTTTTTATGCATAAAAATTTTGAAAAGTCGAATCGGTAAGAATGAAGCTTTGCAGATCATGAATGCAAAACCCATAAAAAAAAAAAAAAAACCGAAAAAATCCTGAAATCTAAAAGAATCCCTTAAATTGAAATAAAATCTTATGAAAGAATTTCAAATTAAAAATAATGCTTTCATATTAGGGCAAATACCGTTTGCACCCCTGTACTATAAAAAATGTCGCATTTAGTCACCTATATATATATATATATATATATATATATATATATATATATATATATATATATATATATAGACACACACACAACACACTATAATCAAGGGACAAAAATGTCTTGAATATTGAAATATATGTGGTCAACGTGCAACATGAGCTTTAACTGACAGAATCACTAACGGAGGGAGGTTTTTGTAGTTTTTAATACTACAGGGAAGTCAATGCGATCTTTTTTATAGTACATGGGTGCAAACTGTATTACCCTTCATATTATAATGGCAAACCACCCCCCAAAAAAAAATGAAATCCCCAAAAAACAAACATTGAAATCGACAAAAAACTCTAATTTAAATGATCGCTAAAAATCATCAACAATCCACAAAAATAAACTTTTAAAAATATGGATTATATCATACATAACGCAGGGTAAAAGAGTCATTTCACGCTCAAATTTAACACCATTAAAAGTTTGACCATTGTCCGTCAAAAATAGCGGGCGTTTGATGTTTTCTTTACTTTAGGGGGAGTAAATGATACATTTCGCATAATACAGGGGTGCAAAATGAATTTTACCATAAAAATAAACTAAATCGGAAATGATAAATATTCAAAAAATATTAATATATTTGGAAATAATCAGAAATATACATAAAACAATCGGAACTATTTTCTGATCGGAATCGGAAGTTTCAAAATTTTGATATGTATTCTCGATTCCCATCTGATTGTTTTCTAGAAATTTTGGAAATCGGAATTTGGAATTGACGAAACCGGTCCAAAATAGAAATTCTTCGGATCAGATTAGAGGGAAATCGGAAATTTTGTTCTGATTTCACCTGTAATTTTGTTCGGATCATTCTTCTTACACGTCCTCCCTTGTGGTGTCAAATTTAGTGCAATCTTCTAGATTATATGGAATATTCTCATTTTTGTACCCGTTTTATCACATTCGAGCTCCACATTTTGAAGCAAGATGATCATAAGATGTGTTTTCTGACTTGTATATTACAGATTGTGGTACATCATAAACAACATTTTTACACAAGAAAATAAGGACCTTTATTTGTTTTGGCATCACATTATGCCAGGTAATGTGTACCAATGTATAATTATAAGCGTCTATTTAAGCTAAGAATCGAGCAATTGTGCGGTGTTTGTGTCTAATTTAGGGGTATTTTATCATAATTGCATTTAGGAGGTTAAATCATGCATTTGTTGAATTTTATTTGTTTTCATGGTAATTAAGTGGCGAAAAGGCGGACAAGCATGAAAACGAGGTGAATAAGTAAGTATAAAGATATAACCACTGATCACTTTGCAAGTTCTCCATCGATCAACCTGTAAATTTAACTCGAGTGCAGACATGAATATCATTCCGATTGCTGTGTGTGAAGAACTTTTTTCGGTTGTGTAAATCCGTCGCGTTTAACTCTCAGTAACCATGTAGATCATGTCGATTAATCATGTCAGATTACATGTGTGTAATTATATAAATTTGCAATCAGGTCCTAGTGTTTAAATTAATTCTTACTTGAGGCAGGGTCAATTCGCAAGAATAAATATCTTACTAGGATTTCTTATATTTTCAGAATTTTCAATTTAGTCCCCTAATTTTAAGATTTCTATAAAAAAGTTATGAGATTTATTTAAAACTTAGACTTCCCCCCTTAAATTTATTTACATTTTTTCACCCTTTTGCAAGTATACAGGTTTTAAAAGGACTGTTGTAACATTGTAGCAACATAATTTTTGGAATTGTAATATCATTTTATATGGTATTGTATAACAATTTCAATACAAACACTACAAAAAATGTACTTTTTGTGACAATTTATTGTGACGAAAGTAAAATTCGTCACATCAACAAGAAGTTTATATGACGAAATCAGATGTCGTCTCATAAAGTAATGTTTTATGAGACAAAATTGTTTTCGTCACATTAAGTTTGTCTTATGTGACAACATTATAAATTCGTCTTGAAAAGAAATGTCTGACTCATTCCAACGATCAGTGCACCCGTTTTAGTGATAACATTTAGCTGTTTTATGACAAAGTAATTTCGTCACATTTATTTTTATTGTGACAAAATTACTTTTGTCACAAATCCAAATAATTTATAATTAAATATAAATTTAATTATAAATCTTTTACAATTAAATATTTTGTCATTTAGCAATTCAATGTTATTTTTCCCATCTATTATTTTGCATCCCTCTTGTTATTTTTCTCTCACCATTTTCCTTCCACTCCCTCTCTCGTTTCGCTTGTCGCCTCCACCACCTCCGCCAGCGTTTCGCCTGTCGCCTCAGCCACCACCGCCATCCTTCCGCCGCCTCCGTCATCACTAGCCTCTCAATCGATTCAAGTAAGGTAATTTTGTTGTTCTCAATCTCTAACTCTAGCCTCTCTACCTCTGCTCATCTGTCATTTTTTTTCTCTCCCAATCTGCAATCGAATGTTTTAGGATTTTGGTTAGAAGTGCGTAAACCGGAGTTTTTGAGCCTTTACATCTACACCGCTGTCATTTTTCTTCTCTCTAATTCTGAAATCTAATGTTAAGGTTTTGGCTAAAAGTTCGTAAACTAGGTTTTTTTCCAAAATTAAATTAAGGATATTTAATTAAATTTTCAAAATTCATTGAAGAATTCTTCGGTGTTTGAATCTAAATTAGGTTTTCTGAATCAGAATTATGGAGTTTTCTGGTATGGTGCTTCAATGGATGTGTAATAATGAAGCCCTAAAGGAAGAAATGAAGAGTGAAACGAGCATTTTATTGTGTTTAAATTACATTTTTTTTATAAAAAAAAAAAACAACTTTTAGCCCTAAAGAAAAAAATGTAATTTAAATTACATTTTTTTTATAAAAAAAAAAAACCAACTTTTAGCATTTTATTAAAAAATGTCTGTTCCGACCGCAAGAACCCCGTGATGTTGCATTTTATTTGGAAAGATAGGGTCTCCGCAACAACCTGTCGACCGTTCTGGCAAACCATGTTTATATGTATATCAATATATATATAGATATATACCGGTTTACTAGAATCTTGTTATTTCTTTATTGTTGAAGTCGTGCATATTAGTATTTTACTATGGACAAATAACAAATAGGCCTATGACAAGAACACTTAATCAGAAAAGGGACATCTAACTTTTTTCTCTTCCAAATAAATCCAGCTCATTCAAACTTATTTGCAAATAAAGAAAACAACCCTTTTATATATACCAAAATTACCCACAATTTCTTGAAACCCTAATTCAACTCCAATTTCATGATTTAAACAACCATTTAGCCCATTTCACCAATTCACCAATTCACCAATTCACCAATTTTAACCCTTATTCCAATTTCGGAGATCGCCGGTCTCCAGCGTTAACTTTTTTTTTTTTGGGAAACATTTTCTTTCTGATTTTTTTTTCCGGCAAGTCCGGCGTTGACCCTTTTTTTTTCTTTTTAAACTTTTTTACATAAAAAAATATATTTAACGTAATATTACTGTGTTGGCCTGTTATATTACTGTTGGAGATAATAATTTAACGGTTTGAGACAGTAATTTTACTTTGTTAATTAATTTTACCGTCTTGACCTGCAATTTTGTTGTCTCTGACCGTAATATTAGTGTTTCATGCAATAGTATTACTGTTCGGGACAGTAATATTAGCAGTATTGCTGTTTGAAAAAGTAATATTCATAATATCACTGTTCGAGACAGTAATATTACTGCTTGGGACAATAATATTACTGTTTGAGACAGCAATATAATATTAGTAATATTAATGTTTGGGACAATAATATTACTGTTTTGGTATTCAATATTACTATCTCAGACAATAATTTTGTTGTTAACACAGTAATTTAGAGTGAGAACAAAAAGTTTCCAAAAAAAAAAAAAAGTCAACGCCGGAGACCGGCGGTTGACCGTCCGGAAAACGACGATACGTGGAAATGGGAAAATGAATACAGGGAAACGGCATGCCCCATAAATGGGAATACATGAGTTGGGGCGAAACGTGTAAATATTAAAAGTATTTCACGAGTTCACCTGTACTCCATTAATTGTGCCACTTTGCCATTTTTTGCGCGTTTTCAGGTCAAAATGACCGATTCTGAACCCACGTGCGTTGCAAATGTGAAATCCAAGGGTATTGTTGTCTTAATTTCCTTGCTTCAATTTTCCCTCAATTTTCTTGTTATCTACATTATTTTCCCTAATTGCTTCAATTTTCCCTCAATTTCCTTGTTATCTACATTATTTTCCCTTTATTTTTCTCCTTTATCTCCTTTATTTCTCTAATTTGTCTATCATTCTCCCCTTTCCTCTATTTCTCTATTCCGTAGAAAACACTGTACTTCCTCTCTTCTTATTCTTCTCTTCTTATTCTTTTCTTTGGCGGTGCTAATTACCCATCGCCGCCCTCTGCCGATGCCGCCGCATCACCGTTGTTGTTGCGGCGGCTGCTGCAACAACAACGGTGAGTCCAACCACCGCCGGTGGTAGTTCCCAATCGGTGCCCCTTGCCGACGCTCTCTCACTCCATAGAAAGAACCGTCCCTAATCACCATCCCCACACTGCTTCACCCAATTCCGCCCCTTCATGACTCGAACTTGACGGCAAGTCCATCCCTTCATGACTTGTATGGGTTTTGGTAGGGGTGAGGTTTGAAAGTGCTTTTTTTTTTGGGGTTTTATTATTTTATGAAAAATCATCGAACAATATTTTATTTTCTCATTTCTTCTAAATTGGAATTACTTTGATTTCATTTTCTTCTGAACCAAGCACCCTTGTGATTTTTGTGATTACTTTGATTTCATTTTTCCTAGAAAACGATAAAGGGTGGATGAAATGAAATGTGTGAGAATGTGTGAATGTCAACGGGAATTAGGGGCTGATTATTTTAGTAATTGAAAAGACATCAATAGCCTTGAATTTGTCATGTGAAGCGCACGTGGGGTGGGGTGAGAACCGGTCATTTTAACCTTTTAACCTGTAAACATACAGGTAACGAAATATAAAGTGGGACAATTAATTGAGTACAAATGAATTCCTGCAAAAAAAATTTGTTCAGGTAGCGATGTGCAAAAGCTGAAAAAGTTCAGGTGGTTTAATGCTATTTACCCTTATTTTTATATATTTTCATACATATATATTTAAATAAATTTTACTATCAACTACTATCTTGCAATTGATTATCGGACCACGTAAGTAATTAAGGAAGCAACAAAAATAATTGAAGATTTACTATTCAACATGTTTTTAACATTTTAGAAATTCCAAAATGACAAAAAAAATGTCAAACATGTGTCCTCAAGTATCGGACACGAAATGCAAAAATGTTATGAAGTTCAAAGTTTCCGCGCTACATAGACCGTGATTGAAGGTGGGTCTTTGTGTGATTTGAAGATTTCAAACTTCTCTAAAATTGGGAGACATCTGCACCATTTTATTTATTTATTTATTTTTTTAATACTACAACTATATTTTGTAGTATTAAACTTATCGTGCTGGGATTAAACTTTCATGTGACAACTAAAGACTTGTAGTATTATAGCAATTTATTTTCCCATTTCATTGTCATTGATTAAGCATTGGATTCTCTAACGTGTTAGGATTAAACTTTAATGCGAAGACTTGTAGTTTTAAAATGGTTTAATTTCCACTCTGCTTATACAATAATTCTTGCTTTCACTTGCATTTAATTAATTAACACAAAAACTCTAATGTCTGATAACTTAATATTGTATTATATCTAGCAATTTTGACATTCTACTTGTCAAAATTGTGATTTGAACTTGTCAATAAACACCATTGACTTTGTACATTATTAGTATAAAATGTGACAAAGAACCTCATTATAATTCTTCCCAAACAAATTAAACAAAGTAGAAAAGATTGAATCATTATGTCTGTGATACCAGTGTTACCAGAATTTCATGGTATGTATTATATTACGATATTCACAAAACTAATTCTTTCTTTTCTTTTCTTTCTCATTTTATATATATATGTGTGTGTGTGTGTAATAAAAAAATTAGTATATATTGCTTAAATCTGCAGAATTCAGCAGAATGGAAACAAGAGAGGCACCACCTGCACATTTGTTGGTCAAGATCGAATCATTCTCCTTATTTGAAAAGTGTCAAATTGAGAAGTACGAAACTAAGGAATTTGCGGCTGGGGAATATAAGTGGTATTGTGTATACTAAGATATTGAGATATTTATATTAAATGATACATTTCACTAACAGCATAAGCTTATGCGCAATTGTTGCTTGATAAAATCAAAAAGTAATGAAAGATGGTTGAACTTGTACATGAAACTAATAATCTATCCCAATGGAGACGACAACGTCGGAAAAGATAGCGGCTACGTTTCTGTATATTTGGCTATGGTAGACACATGTTCTCAACCTGTGGAGGTCAATGCTGTCTTCAGTATCTTTCTCTTTAATCATATTTCCGGCAAGTATCTTTCTTCACTAGGTACTATTCTTGTTCTCTAGCTAATTACAATTAGTTTATTTAAGTTGCAAATTAAAACAAGTAGTCGGGACTAGAGAAGTTCTACTAATTTAGCGAATTATTAAATTATCGAGTTAATAATTTAACATGTTTTCACCGAGTCGGGACCAAGAGAAACTATTATCTAATTGAGGTTGTACTGTTGTATATGTATGGGACAGGAAGAACAAGACGTTTCCTAGGAACGAAGTCCAAATGGGGATTTTCAAAATTTATATCAAAGGAAAGTCTGACAAATCCATCAAATGGATATGTAGTTGGTGACAAGTCATGTGTGTTTGGCGCTGAGGTTTTTGTGGCTAAAAAAGAAGCAATCACTCAATCCGTGTCTTCAAGAAATGTTGACATTCCTTACAAACGTGATTGGATTATTCCAAACTTCTCCAAACTCGGAAAGTTTTGGGTATCGGAGGTATTCGGTGCTGGAGGCGAAAAATGGTACTATGCTTTTTTATTTTATTTATTTATTTTGGAACAATGTGTGTTATATCCTTGCATTTATTCCATTGTTGACATGAGTACATATGTTGATAAATGAAGGACGATTAGTCTTTACCCGAAAGGAATAGTTGTTGGCACCCATGTCGACATATGTGTGTGGTATTACGGTTGTGAAAGAGTGGAAGCATGTTTTACAGTACGTATCAAAGACCAGATTTTTGATCATGAATACGAGAAATCATGTAGTAAGTTACAAAACATTAGGGTTCGTAATTGTTGTGGATATTCCTACTTGAATCTCTCTAATCAAATACTAAATTTGTTTTTTCTTGCAGAATATTGCTTGTTTACAACTTCCTCCAATGTTGGGGGACTGTATAATTTCATTGAAATTGCAACTATGAATGATCCTAAAAAGGGATTCATTGTGAACGATTCTTGTCTTCTGCAACTTGAAATCTCATCTCTCAGAGATGTGGCAGAATAATCTCCCCTATCATGGAATATTTATTAGCTGCACATTATTATTCATATCTCTCTCTCTCTCAAATATATATATATATATATATATATATATATATATATATATATATATATATATATATATATGGCCAAAATTACAACCACCCCTGAGGTATGGTCAAATTACGAAAACCCCCCTCTTGTTTGGGTAATTACAACCACCCCCTCAACTATAAAATTTCTTACACGCCCACCCATGCGGCTTCAAATTTAGTGGAATTTTCGAGATTATATGGACTATTATCACTTTTGTACCTGTTTTATCCCATTCGAACTCCACATTTTGAAGCAAGATGATCATAATATGTGTTTCTTGGCTTGTATATATCAGATTGTGTTGCATCAGAAACTGTATATTTACACAAAACGAGTACAAACTAGAGTTCATTCCACAAAATCTAAATGATTATGTTGAATTTGACACCATAAGGGTGGAGGTGTAAGAAAAAAAACATAGTTGAAGGGTAGATGTAATTATCCAAACAATAGGAGTTTTTTCGTAAATTGACCATACCTCGGGGTGGTTGTAATTTACCCATATTTATATAAAGGGATTATTTTGTAGACCCCCATTATTTCCAAATTATATCGAACTAACTACCAAGTGGATTACACTCTAGGGGAAACCCCACTCATTTCGAAAATATTTTGACAAACCCCATTGGGCCACCCTGAAGTCCCTATAATACACTTTTAAAATCAGTTTTAAACCCTAACCCAACACATTTCGGTCTCTCTCTTCCTCTCCCAGATTCAAAATTCCGCCCCCCAAAACCTCCCACCGACGAAATTGCTTCCCGGAGTCATAACTCTCTCTCCGGTGGTCGGAATTCGATGGTTTGACTACCGTTGGATTCCTCTCGTCGAGCTCTTTCTTTTGGTGGTGATTTCATTCAGTTTGGAGCACTGGTCTGTTTCTGCAATTTTTTTTCATTCGACGACGGTGGTCTTGCCGGAGGTGTATTTTATGTTCCACCAATCGAAATTTGACGGGCTACCTACCGTTGGATTCCCCTCGTTGAGATCTATATTTTGATGGTAATTTTGTTTATTTTTATATTTTCAGATTTATTTCTATATTTTTTTGCATTTGTTGGCGCACGAAACCGTGGGTGGTTATTAGCGGCGGCTAGGGTTTTGGTAGGAGGCGAGGGGGTGAGGAGTCACTGTCTGTTTGATTTAAAATCTGTAGCATTTCCCAGCAATAACCTCTCTCTCTATCTCTCGATCTCTTAGGCTATGTTTGATTATCTCTTAATGAGCTCTTAATGCTCCTAATATATGATTTGGTCAGAGATAACTAATTAAGAGTGTTTGGTATACAACTCTGACCGGATTCATCTCCTCCTTACCGATTCAGTCAAAACATTAGGACTTAATGGTTCAGATATCAACTGAATGAAAATTAGACAAATTTATCCCTATAAAATTCGTGCCTCTTGATTCGAGGAAGCAATTGTAGTTGATGAGGTTTTGTGTTCGGCCAGTTACATTTAAATTAGGGTTCTCAATTTGACCCGCCCCGATGGATTCCCTCCCCGAAATTTTCGGATATTACCCGCCCCGAAAAAAAATGGGGCGGGTATGGGGATTGAAATTCTTTTTCGACCGGGTACGGGTACGGCGATGGGTTTGCCTATACCCGCCCCGTACCCGTCCCTGTACCCGCCGAGCATTATTTATATATATAATATATATTTATTAATTATTATATTAAATATAAATAATTAAACAGTAGTAATATATTAAATATTAGCTAAAAATGAGATTTTTAGGTTTCGATTATATAATTAAATATTAGTATTATAATTAAATATTGATTTATTTGTTGAAATAAACCTTTAAATTATAAGTAAATTACATATTTATTTATTAAAAAATAAGAAAAAAATAGACGGGAATTTTTACCCGCTCCGATACCCGTGGGGATTTTATGGGACGGGTATGGGGATTTTTTTTATAAAGTTCGAGGATTTTGACGGAGATAGGGATGGGAATTTCCATAACGGGGTGGAGATGGGGATTGCAAAACCCGCCCCATACCCGCCCCATTGCCATCCCTAATTTAAATACACAAATGAGTATGCGATGAAGGGAGATAAAGTAGCGGTAGAGAATTTTTTCTTTTTAGGTGCCAGAAGTTTCAAATTTTTATTGTGAAATTTAATTTATTTCCAGCTTTCTTCATCTTTTATGGATTATGGGGTTTTAATGAAAATTGTAAATTATATTGAAATTTTACTTTCCTATTTTTCAATTATAGGATTTAGATTTACAATTATTATTTTTATTTTATCCAAATAAATATATATAATATTACAAGGGTGATAATAATTATTTTTTATTTTAGATATTAGTGATGATTCATTTAGTGAATAAATATATGTTCAATAATTACGAGGGACAATATATAAAAATTATATGTTATTCAGTGACTATAAATTTTCACTTGTCAAACAAACTTAATTATTTAGTATTCAGATTCAAACACTGATCTTAATCATTCAGTCATATATTCAGCATTCAGTGTTCAGTACTTAATTCTGTCAAACATAGCCTTAAACACCTCTTTATACAATGGGTCCCACTTAAACACTCCCCAAATTACAATCTACTCCAATGGGTTGGTTTTTGGTCCTCCCTAAAATATCCCCAAATATTAAATTCTAATAAAATATTCATTATAAATATAATAATTATGAAATTATATTTTTATTTTTTTTAATATTTATTTGGTAAAATATATAACAATCATCAATTTATATTAATTTTTAAATGAAACTATTTTAATTTATTATATAAAATGTTTAATTAAGTTGTGAATTATTTATTTTTGTCTATTTCTATAATTATATAAATTGTATTTACAAATTTAAAATATTTACAAATAACATAAATTAACATAAATATTAATAACGTAAAATATTATAAATGCGCTATTGGTCAAAAGAAGATCTATGTAACATAATGAAAACTTGTCTTATCCTTCATAATATGATTATAGAAAATGAACGTGGAATGGGATATGATATATGGAAACCTTTACCAGAAGAAAATATTTCCTCTCCTGAATATGGTCGAGATCCATCAATTTTAATGTCTTACATATCAGCACTCCTTAACCGAATTCGCAATCGAAGAACTAATGAAGTCTTGAGATCCGATCTTATGTACCATTTATGGATTATCTTTGGAGACGAAGATGTTTAATTTTTTTTTTAAATGAATTGTCTTATTCTCTATGTGTGTTGTATTTGCTTTATTTTTTTGATATCGTATTTATTTATTAATGTTTGATTTTAATTTAGTTTTGCTTTATTTTTATTCATTATTTCTTTTAATACCTTCTTAAATATAAACATTATAAATTAATAAAATAATGTGTAATAGAAATTTATGGATGTAATACATATAAATTAAAATAGAAAAGAAATTTATGAATGTAATACATATTTTTTATTTACAAAATAATTGCTATAAATGATTTCATAAATTATAAAAACAAGGAAAAAAAAAAAGGAATCCAAGTAATAGTGCAAAACGTAGGAAAAATAAATAAATCACATGTAGGAAAATAATAAATAAATCACATGACCCCACAATGCTTTGTTAAGTAACTCCTATCTATGGGGAGTTAGTTAGAATTTTTCAAAATTTGAGGAGTCATAGAGAGGCCTAAAATTACCCACTACAGCAGCCCTTTCCCTCCAAAATTTGGAGATGGCCACATAAATAATGTGTTTAAAGAGCCCATTGTGGATGCTCTTAATAGAGAAATATAAGGATTCCACTAATTTGATGACACGTGGCAAACTGTATTGTGTTATCTCTCTCTCCTACGATTAGCAATGAATTATTCATTTACTCTAGTAATAGTTTGTTTATGTTTTCATTTATTTTGTTTATTTTTTCTTCATGTATCTTGAAATAAAAATTTATTTTAACTTCTTTCTAGATCTGAATCCAAATAGATTTTAGTTTTTCATTTTTTCATTCCAATTTTTATATTTATCTCACTGTTGTGAAATGAATTTGAAATTAGTTTTTATTAATTTTTTCATTGGATTTATTTTTCAAAAATGTTAATTTCAATCAATTAATATTTTATCTAGTTTCCACCTCTACTGTTACGTGGTCCTTTAATAAAAAACAATTAGATTGATAAATTATTATTATATTATTTATTAACTTAGAGTCTTAGAGTACCAATTGCAACACTTGTCCCCTCAAACATTAATAATTTTGTACTTAAATTTCAAACCATATAATACCTTTTTTTTTTTAAATAAAATAATACTTTCAAATATGTCCACTTTTATGGGATGGAATAGTTCAAAATAATTCAAATAATTTATCAAAAAAATAAATTGAAAATTCAATGCAAAGTTAAAAAAAAAAAAATATCTTTCTTTGCTAGAATATCCCGAGGCGCGAGGGGGCACGATTCCCGAGGCAGTCGCACGGCACGCTTCCCGAGGATCAACACGATTACCGAGGCAGCCGATCGCGCAATGCACACCTCAATATCTCCAGCCGCGCTACGCGAGCTCGATCCACGTAATCCACCGCGGGACCTCCATTCGCGCCCGCGAGCTCGATCCACGTAATCCTCTACCGTGCGACCTCAACCCACGTGATCCTCCACCGTGCGGCATCGATCCACACGTGCGTCCTAGATACGTGCGTCGCTCCACAGCCGTTGCGATACAACTCGCTCGGTCCTACGGACATCAATTCGCGCACGCGCCTCCCTCCACTCACTTAATCTCGCGCAACTTTCACTGCGCACCACATAATGGCGCGGGAATTTCAACGCCCCACACAATAGCGCTCACTCTCCGCGAATAAAATAAAAATTATTATTCCTCCACGCCACGCCAATGACTAACGGAACAACGATCTACTCTCGACACGATCCGGTACCCTTTTCGACTTGGCTCCCACATCGACTCGAGAGTGGGGGGC